GGGAATCAAACCTGTGACCCCTAGGTTTTCAGGCCAATGTTCTAATCACGGAGAAAAACAGGCCAGGGCCAAAATGGATATTTGATGATGTTATTAAAGAATTACTGTTAACTTTTTGGATGTGACATTGTATTTGTGGCTATGTTTTCAAAGCGTTTATATTTTAGAGATACATACTGAAATATTAGCAGATGAGCCATATGAGGCCTGAGATTTGCTTCAAAATAATCCTGTGTGTGTGAAGAAATAAACATTGGCCATACATTTATAATTGCTGACACCTAGTCATGAATACATGGTGGAGAGTGGAGAAGAGAATCTGTGATACAATTTTCTCTACCATTGTATGTTTGAAATTTTCCATAACAGAACATTAAAAAATGGGGGTTGGGAGAGGCGGCCTGATTTTGCCCTCCCCTTCCCAGAAGCCTTCAGGGGCACATGGGCAACTGTAGAGCAAAAGACGATCAGAGACAGGCTGGAATAGAGTGGGGGTCTAAAGGGAATGAGAGTCATTCTGAGGCCAGGTTCAGTGTGACGGGCTTACCCGGTTGCGGGGCAGGGTCCAACCACACACAGCACATTCCTGGGCAAGCAAGCGACGCAGAAAGGCCCGATCTTGGCTCTGCCTCACAGCTTCTACCACGTCCCCTAATTCATAGTTCCTGGGTGTCTCCTGCAGCAGCGATAGCGCCAGCTCTGCCCGGCCCCAGCTGGGGAGTGTGTACACCGCCAAAAGTCGTCTGACCAGGCTCTGCAATGTGATTCAGGTGGAGAGGGAAGAAGTGGCTGTCAGACCCATTTCTATCCTTCAGCCTTCCTTCTCCCCCTCCATGTGTCTCTTCACCTCCTCCCAGCACCTGCTTATCTGAACTGTCCCATGAAGGGGTGGGCTCCGGGCCACTGTCCCAGAGGCGCTGATGGAAAGGCTCTAGGCGTTGACGCTGTAGCTCAGTCAGGGCCCGTGCCACGTCACCCCCGTGTTGGTACAATGCTTGAAGAGATCCCTCCTCAGGCCCAAAGCCCAGGGATCGGAGCTCCTGCACCTGAGAGTTGGGAGTGGAGAGAAGGAATAAAGAGGGAAAAAGCAAGCAAAGGAGAGAATATGAGAGGCTCTGACCTACAACCTTCAACCCTATCCCACCTCTAGCACAGCTGGTACCTTCCTGCGCCGGAGCCTCACACACTCTTCCACAGCTTCATCGAGATTGCCATGACGATCCAGCCAGGCTTTCTGGGCCTCCTGACAGGAAAAGGCACCTAGCCCAGGGTCCCGTTGTCCAGCCAGTTCAGCCACCATCTCCAGCACGTAGGGCAGCTCTGAATGCAGCCACTGCAAGGGCACCTCAGTGCCAGAGTACTGCAGAGCCGAGAAGACCTCCTCTGGACAGGCGCCTGCGGCTTCTCCTTCCTAAGGCACAGTCCACCCAGACAGAGGGCCGATCAGGAAGGTGCCCTCCATCCCCCTCAGACAGCACCAAAACGCTGACAGTGGTTGAGCTCAGACCATGATCATGTGAGCGGAGCTAAGCATGACACCTATCATATGGGAAGTGTTCAATATGTTCGATAACAAGTAGCTGTGGCTAACAATCACCAGATTTATAAGAATTCATATTATTTGACTGCAGCCTCTCCTTCCCCCACCAGCTCAGCCCCACCTCATCCCAGGCCCAAATCCTCACCCGGATCTTGATCACTAGCTGACGACCTTCCTCCCGCATCTTGTCTTGGCGCTGCTTCTCAGAGTCCCCACAGGAACTGGGCAGAGGGGCACTGAGGCGTCGTGGAGGCTCTGGATTGGGGAGTCGCTCTTCCAAGGAGCTGGCATTGGGCCGGGAGGCATGCTTTACTGGGATGGGGCTGCTGGTCCGGTTACACATAGCACATACCCAGCCAGGGCCCGAATTGCAGAAGGTACAGTGAATACAGTACCAGATCGAAGTCTGGGCAGAGGAGAGCAAAGTATCTCTCTGCTGGGAAGGCAGAAAGAATTATCCCATTGAAAGTTGGCTGAGGCTCAAGATGGAAATGTCGGGAGCGGGTTGGAAGACAAGGGGAAACTGATGGAAAACCAGGGATGAAGAGGTAGAGAATGGCTTATGGTAACAGGTGCAAATAAAGAGCCGGGAAGGCCAGGAACAGGTTACCTGAAGGGGCTGCAGGCAAATGCCACCATCCTGAGAATCCACCACCAAGCTAGGAGGCTGAGCCAGCCGAGGTCGCTCACACATGGCACACAGCACAGCCGCTGGCTCATTCTCAAAGGTGCAGCTCTGGCAGGCCCAGTGACCCCGTGTAAGTTCAGGTTCTAGGCCGCCAGCTCCTTGGGGACCCTCAATCTCCAGCCCCAACCCCTTACAGCCTCTGGGCCGGTCACAGGCCTCACAGAGCACTGCCCAAGGTTTATTTAGCACGGAACAGGTGGCACAGTGCCAGGACAGGCGGACACTTGCAGGATCAGGGGACGAAAGAGAGTTATCTCCGAGGGCCAGCAAGGAGGTTAGCTGGGGCAGTGGTGGAGCTGCGGCAGGTAAGCTGCAATGGAAAAAGCAGACATGGCCTGCTGAGGTGGGGGGGTCCACGGGTGCTTGGGTCCCCCACCCTGGGCATCCCTCATTCCCTGCATGATGATACATGGCTCTTGCCTTTGCACATTTTGTTCTATCTGGAACACTCCCATACCCGTAGCCTATTCAACACTTAAATGACAGCTTAAAGTTTACATCTTGCTGGTAGAGATCCCTAACATAGGGCCTGACCATTCTAGGTGCTTAAAACACTGTCAGCTGATTGAGCTGATCTTCAGACTGGGTTGCATCCTCCTATTACCTATTTGCACACCATGATAATCTATCTTGTTGTGACTGCTACTTGCTTAACATGTATGTCTGTGATCTCCTGGAGGGCAATTACTAGCTACTTGCCCTCTATAAAACAGTCTTTAGCACAGAATATGGTACACAGAAAATTCTCAAATAATTCTAAGTTCTCTTAATTTCACTCCCTCCCAGAAAAGAAGGCCTCTCACCTAGGGGTCAAGTGGGCAGCGTGAGGGGCCCAGGTCTGGCGGAGGTGATGGGCACGGGATGGGTGCCCATGGAACAGGCGATCACAAGCTGGGCACAAGGCCTGTTTACAGGCTGAGCAGTGCAGTGTGCCTGGGGCAGAACCACAGAGGAAGCAAGGACCAGGAGTGGAGTCTGGAAAACAGGGGAGAAAGAATAGAACATCTTTCTGAAAAAGGCCAGGTTACATTTGAATGTGATTTGGGGCGGGGGAAGAAGGGGGGAACCAGTCACAGACTACTTTCCACATATCTGGACTTAAGGAAACCATTTTAACCTCTTTTTAAAAAAGAAAGATAACCAAGAAGGTAGACAGAGAAGGGTTCCAAATTTCCATCCATACGGTCTACTAACCCTGCCCCTCCCAAGATAGGACCAATAATACCTGGGGCAGAGGGTGTGATGAGGGGGCCAGGAGCAATCTCTCTCAGTAGGGGGGCAAACTCTGAGAGCTGTAGCATCTGAGGAAAAAGGGCAGGGAATGGGCAAGGGTTTGGAGAGTCCCCAACCCCTGTCCACTCTGTTCACCAGGCCCCAAAGCCCCATTCCTGCCTTCCTTGCATCATCTTCCGCTTTGTCGTTCAGCAGCTGCTCCAGTGCTTGCTGTCTTGGATGATTATTCTGTAAACAAGATAAAGAAGAGTTCCCACCTACAGTCCCCTCTAAGACCTGGTCCCCCAACATTCACAGGAAGAACAGTAAGGGGAGCTCCCAGATTGCTGAGGGGACTATGCTCAGGGCTTAGTAGCATGGGAATCCCTAGGCTGGCTTTGGAGTTAGGCAGGCCTTCCCAGCCCTGGTGCTTAAGCCCTCAAGACCTGAGACGCCTCACCTCTAACAGCAGATTGAGCTCAGTCCGAAGTAACAGTACTTCCAGGGTGACTGTAGCAACTTGGTGCTCATCTGGATCCTCTTGCCCCTCCGGGAAGCTCAACCCATCGGGCTGCTCCTCGGTGTAGCCATACAATCGCAGAACATCCCGGCCCCCCTGCCACACATTCACAACCGGTCAACACCCAGCAGGCCCTCTTCCCAATAGGGCTGAACCCCTTCCCATTCTGCTCAGGCCCCTTCTACACCCCCGCCCCGCCCTAGCCCAAGCCCAAGTCCTTTCTCCCATAAGGGACTCCAGGGGCTTCACCTGCACAGCATCCACCGTACTTCGAAAGACAGGGTTATTAAACTTGACCCCGCGCCAGTACCGCGGTCTCTGAGGGCTGAGGAGGTTGCGGCCATATTTCTCCAGGATGTTCAGGGCCGTGGAAAGGGTGCTGAGGTAGGTCTGGGGCTGAGAGCAGTCACAGAGCAGAGAGCTGTGAGCGCCTAGCTCGGGCTCAGATTCTCGGTCCCCCTCCCCAGCGGTGCCCGGCCTCACCTGCCCGCGAGCATTGCAGCGGATCAGGCGTGCGGCGTCCAGCTGCTGGTAGCGGGCGGATGGAGGCAGAGAGGTGACCAGCAGCGGCCAGAGCTGCTCCAGGGAAAACGCCTGCCCGGAATCCTTCCGCAGGGCGCTAGCCAGCTCCTCGCGGGCAGCCAGGAAGGCCCGCTCCTCCTCCTCCCCTGGCATCCCAGTCTGACTTCGCAGCGCAACCCAGTACGCGCAGCCTCCCAGGGTCACTCCGGCCACGGTCACTCTAGGGGCCCCGGCCCCCAGCCAGGGGTAGTCGGGAACAGGAAGTACTGGAGTAGAGGGCGGGACTGCCACCCAGTTTCAGAGGAAGAGGCGGGGTTTAAGGTTAGGAAAGGGCGGGGTCATGAAATCAAGGGGGCGTGGCCATGAAGGGAGACTGGCTCCCAGCCAATGAGAAGGGTACATGGCCCCTGGCTTCTCCCCTAGGGCGTCTCTACTTGGACCCAGTGCTGGAGATATTCCCCGCCTTCCTCCAGGCTGGCCCGCCCCTTTCCGGGGAGCCCAGAGAGCGGCGTTACCTAATTTCCCTCCAAGCCTGGCTCCGGTCCCCCCTGGGGAAGTCCCTCTCTGCGCCCGTGCCGGGCTCCAGCGAGTCTTCTCCAGTCGGCGTGGGCGGCAGGGAGCCCCCGCCTACTCCCTTTCATAGCTGCTAGCGTGCCCCAGTCCCCGGCCCCCTCCTACTTCTTCCGAAGCTCCGATGCCTCTCCACCTCTGAACACCCGCTCCCCACCTCTCATTCCGACACTGATTTCCTGTAAGCCCCGCCCCTGCTCGGGCGGGGCCGCCCCAGTTCTGCGTTCGCGGTTCCACTCGCCCTAGCTCCTCCCTCGGACCGCCCCGGCCTCGTACCCGACCGAGTCAGCACCGCCTCTCCTAGTCTCAACTGGTTGAGTATGGCTAAGGGGCTCCCTACGGTTGGCGGCCTGCCAGGGGGCGGGGGGGAAGAGGAAGAGGGTGGGGTTAAGGGGGGCGGGCCTGGATGTGGGGAGTGAAAGCGAAAGCCCAGGAGGCGAGCCCAGAGACCCGAGATCTAGCCACTGGAGCAGCATGGCCAAGCCTTGTGGGGTGCGCCTGAGCGGGGAAGCCCGCAAACAGGTAATGGGGACCGGGAAGCTAGGAGGGGGCCGGGGAGCGCTCCCGGATAGAGGCGAAGCTGGGTGTTCAGGGAACCAAGGCCGTGCCCGAGACCTACCCCAACCTCTCTCTTTAGTGCTTTCACTTCTGCCCGGGGATTCCCAGATTCCTGCCCTCTGGCCTGTCTCTGCACTGAGCATGGACTTCCAAGGAAATCTGGCTGGTTGTGGGAAAGGCCAGAGCCAAGTTGGAGGGCATTTAATTGGGGACGGGATCTTACTGTTGACAATTGAGACCCTTAACCAACGTTCGGGTACTGCTCTCTATGCAGGTGGATGTCTTCCGGCAAAATCTTTTCCAGGAGGTAAGTCTTCTGGATTCAAGCTATTTGCCCCAGAATCTTAGACCGATGCTTAAGGATCACGACCTCTCAGAGTGACCCCTAAACCCACACTAGACTTGGGTCCTACTTCCCTTATCAAGCCTTCACCCAAGATAAGCACCTAATTGATCTCTACCTCTAATTTGATATCTTCTAATATTGTCCCCATTTCTGCCACTTCTCTTTCCTCTTCTGGTGTGGAGGGAGTCGCTGTGGCCCCGAAGCAGGAATACCACAGCCTTTACCTTGGATCTGCCACTTCCCAGTTGGGCAAGTCCCTTCACTTTTCAGGACTTCAGTTTCCTCATTTGTAGGTCTTGGGTTCAGTAATTTTCAAGGGCCCTACCAGTCCCACTTCTCAGACTGAGTCTTTTCTGTGATTCCCCACCCTTGCAATATAATCCACAGGCTGAGGAATTCCTCTATAGCTTCTTGCCACAGAAGATCATGCACCTGAATCAGCTCTTGCAAGTGAGTAGTATGGACCCCTTTTGCTCCATCCCATGACCTCTGCCCTCTCCACCCACCCTCCCTAACTAACAGCTGGGCTCAGCATGCAGAGAACACTTGTGAGTGGTGGACTGGGAACTTGAGGACGGTGTGAGGCCTGAGCCTAGGTTGGGAGGGAGAAGGCAGGTGGGATGTTGGAGGGAAGGTCGGGCAGCCCCTGACAGTAAGCTTTGTGCAGGAGGACTCCCTCAATGTGGCTGACCTGACCTCTCTCCGAGCCTCACTGGACATCCCTATACCAGACCCCCCACCCAAAGATGATGAGGTGAGGCACTCAGGGTGTGGGGTTTAGATGGTAAACCCAGTGCAGATGATGGCTCTCTAACCTCCATGACTTTTCTGAAGCTACTTTCACCCTTTCTACTTTAGATGGAAACAGATAAGCAAGAGAAGAAAGAAGGTAAGAGAAGAAGGGGTAGCTAGGGAAAGGGAAGTGGCACAATGACTGCTGGATAAGAAGGGGCCTAAATCTCCTCTTTTCCACAGTCCCTAAGTGCGGCTTTCTCCCTGGGAATGAGAAGCTCTTGGCCCTGCTTGCCCTGATTAAGCCAGAAGTCTGGACTCTCAAAGAAAAATGTATTCTGGTAAGCCTGGGGACTGAGAGAAATAGAGAAGACAAGCCAGGCCAGGCCCAGGTGTCCTTCAGAAATGCAAGTCCTTCATTCAGGAACCTGTTCCTGAATAGGAAACTTCCTTCTGTGACATGGGTTTAGATACCCTTTGTTCTGCTAGATCTCTGATATCACAGTGGTATCCCTGAAATCAAAGACCGTGCTATATTCACCTCCATAACCTCAGAACTCACTGCTATACCTGGTGGGTAGAGCAGATGCTATAATATAGTGGGTTGATTTAAGAGTTTGGGCCCTACAGGAAAACTGCCTGGGCTCAAATCATGACTCTATTACTTACCTAGCTGGTTATCTTAAGTAAGTCACTTAGATGTTCTATGGTTCAGTTCTTTCATCTGTTAAGTAGGTATAATAAGAATATGTAACTTGAGCCCTAGACGATTTGGCTCAGTGAATAGAGCATCAGACTGTGGACCAGAGTCCTGGGTTCGATTCCGGTTAAGGGCCCGTACCTCAGTTGCAGGCTTCTCCCCAGCCTGGGTCCTGGTCAGGGTGCATGTTGGAGGCAATCAATTGATGTGTTTCTCTCACATTGATATTTCTCTCTGTCTTTCCTTCTTCCACTCTCTCTAAAAATCAATGGAGCCCTAACCGGTTTGGCTCAGTGGATAGAGCGTTGGCCTGCGGACTCCAGGGTCCCAGGTTCGATTCCGGAGATGGGCATGTACCTTGGTTACAGGCACATAGCCAGTAGAGAGTGCGCAGGAGGCAGCTGATGGATGTTTCTCTCTCATCGATGTTTCTAACTCTCTATCCCTCTTCCTTCCTCTCTGTAAAATATCAATGAAATATATTTTTAAAAAATCAATGGAAAATCCTTGGGTGAGGATTAAAAATAATAATAATAACAAGTAAATAAATAAAGCAGTTTTTTAAAAAAGTATATAACTTGAAAGATTAAATGAAATGTATAATACATAACACAGTACTTAGCACATAATATATGCTCAATTAAAGATAGCTGTTATTATGCAATAGCAGAAATAGGAAGAACCCAGTAAGTTTGTTGAATGATTCCGACATGATAACCTCTTCATGTAGGTGATCACGTGGATCCAGCACCTGATCCCCAAGATTGAGGATGGAAATGACTTTGGGGTAGCAATCCAGGTAAGAAAAGGGTATGTGAAGACATTAAGAGCTGGGAGAGATTTGGGGAGTAAGGAATAGGAGCTTGACATACTGGGAGGAGGAAGAAGAAGGTGAGTGAAGACGGGAGGAGAAGAAGTATTTTCTTTACCTCCCATCTCTTTTGTCCCCGCAGGAGAAGGTGCTGGAGAGGGTGAATGCAGTCAAGACCAAAGTAGAAGCCTTCCAGACAACCATTTCCAAGTGAGGGCAGCAAGAAGGCCACCATGGGTGGCGGGGGGTAGGGGAGCGGCTATGGGGACATTTTTTGTGACTCCCAAAGCTGGGCAGTCCCATTGGGATGATGGGGGGCTTTGGGAAGGGCCTGAGGGAATGTATCTCTCTGAATGCTCACTCTGTGGTTACTCCCCTTGCTCCTGGCAGGTACTTCTCAGAACGTGGGGATGCTGTGGCCAAGGCCTCCAAGGAGACCCATGTGGTGAGTAGATTGTTTACTAGCCTTTCAGCTGAGGCTGGCAGGTGGGAGGGTGAGGAAAGGGGGCTGGAAGTCCTCTTTGTCTTGTTTATGACCTTCTCAATACGGGGAATATTAAGGTAAAAGCATTGCCTAGGAAACTGATTTGGGTTTCAAAAACATTGACCCCTTTTTTTGTTTGGCACGATGGGAATCCCGTTTCTTGTGTAAGGGCTCATCCTCAAGTTACCTATTCCCTGTGTGAGGAAACCAGACTATGTCTCAATCTCCTGACTCAGCTTTGCCTTCCACATCCCAGATGGATTACCGGGCCTTGGTGCACGAGCGAGATGAGGCAGCCTATAGGGAGCTCAGGGCCATGGTGCTGAATCTAAGGGCCTTCTATGTGAGTATGGAGTAAGCCCCCACGGGATTTGGATGAGGGGGTACAGAGGGAACGCCAAGGTCCTGACTGCTGTACTTCTGGCCTTCTTTCAGGCTGAGCTTTATCATATCATTAGCAGCAACCTGGAGAAAATTGTCAACCCAAAGGGTGAAGAGAAGCCATCTATGTACTGACCCCAGGGCTAGAAGAGAAATAAATTACCAATACTTTGTGTGGATTACCTCTGGTGTGTGTCATTCATTCAGAAAGCATTTACTGAGTGCCACCTTTGTCCAGACACAATGTGAATGTGGTGGCGGGAAAGGTAGGGGGTTCCAGGAAGACAAAGATGAATTATATGCCCATTCTGTTCTTAAGAAGTCATCCTAAAGAACAGGGTGGAAACTGTTACCTTCCACGAAGGCCATGAAGATAACTTGTATTTGGGATTTTCACAAGATTATTTCCATCTGAGTGCTTCCTGGAAGAGGCAGTATTTGGGCAGTCCTTATAGGACGAATCAAGGTTTGGACAGACAAGAGGAAAGCTCTTTGGCTGAGGTCAGGGAATGAAGAAAGAAAAGCCTTTCATCCCTTCATCAGCTCAGAGCAAGCCTGGAGAAAGAAGTTTCACTGGAAGAATTACAGGTTAATGGTTGAACTTCTCAAAGATGGGAGGAAAAAAAACTCCCAAGGAATTATGCTAAAGCAAATTACAGCACAGGACATTATGGGAAGGATGGGTCTGTATAGTTTTTTTTTGTTGTTGTTTTTTTACCCTCCTTCAGCCAATTGTTGTCTTTGTTTCTGCAGATATTACATCAAGGAAACCAAAGGCCAGATAACCTGTAGTTGGCTCATTATTAAATGCAAGAGCCGGTCTAGAGTACAAACCCACTCATTCGATAGTAGGAGGAAGGTAATTCGCTACATGCTCAAGTTCAAAGTACCTAACGCGGGCTGAGCGGGCCGTTCGGGGCCGGCCGCACAGGTAACCGCAGAAGCCATCCTGCAATCACAGGTCCAAGTTGGCAGCCTAGCCAATCAGCGTGCAGGCAGTTCTCTTCACAGCGGCGGGTCCTTTCCACTCCGCTGGAGACAAAGGTGGGGCAAGTTTGGCTGAGGCCGGTGATTGGACAAAATGAGAACCTCCAAGCCTATCACAGAGCACCATGTAGTCAGTCCCCTAGAAGCTGGTCTGGCTCGGAGCGGGCGGCTCCGGGTCTGCGGCCGCCCCCTGGAGGCGGGCGCGGGCGCGGGCGGCGCGGGCTCTGCTCTGCAGCATGCTCTCGGGCCGCCTACGTCCCGGGCCGGGTTGGACCCAGGTTCCAGAGCCAAGGCACCTTCGAGCCCAATTAGGGTCACCACCGAACCTAAGCGAGAGGGCCCAGGAAGGCCCAGGGAGGGTGTCGGGCGCTGGAGGAAGCCTCTCAGACGCGAGCGGGCGCCCGGTTCGCCATGGGGGAGGTGGAGATCTCGGCCCGGGCCTACGGGAAGATGTGCCTGCACGCCGCCCGGTACCCGCACGCCGCGGTCAACGGGTTATTGTTGGCGCCGGCGCCGCAGTCGGGAGAGTGCCTGTGCCTCACCGACTGTGTGCCGCTGTTCCACAGCCACCTGGCCCTATCCGTCATGCTGGAGGTCGCCCTCCACCAGGTGCGACTGCTGGACGCGCACCAACCACCGTGAATCCCCAACTCCCCCAGCCCACGCCTGTCCCCGCCTCTAGCAGCGTGAACGCCTGCAGGCCGCCTACTGATGGCCCCTTTCCCATGGCAGGTAGAGATGTGGGGCGCGCAGGCCGGCCTGGTCCTGGCTGGGTACTACCATGCCAATGCAGCTCTCGGTGACCAAAGGTGAGTCGGTGGCCGGAGGCGGAAGGCTAAGGGTTAGGGGTGAGTGTGGGGGTGGTGTCAAGAGAATTCCTCTGGGTCATTCCTTCCATCTTTCCTTTATCAAACGCTCAGGAGCAGGGACTGTACACCAGGCACGAGGTTGGGCACTGGAGCGAGGAAACAAATGTAAAGACGCTCTGGAGGAGCTGCGGTGGGGAGGGCAGGATGACTGTGTGTAAGAAAAGGCTGACACTTGTTTTAACCGAGGTGCCCCTCCCCCAGCTGCTAAAACAATACAGGAAGCCCAGCGAGCAACGTAAAACCACAAAATTTCTATAAGTAGAAAAAAATCATCTACTTATATGTTGATATATCTGGATCAAAGTATACATAGTTTTGTAATGTACTTTTCTCTCATTTAATAAATAGCTGACATCTTTCCATCCCTACTCCAAGATCTACCTAAGCTAAGGCTATGTAATATGAATAAGGATGTACCATAATTTATGAATGCCTACACTGAATATTGAGGTTGTTCTGATTTTTTATTATAGTGCCCTACAGTAATTTCTTTATAAGTGGACTATCTGGGTCAGCATATGTACAGCATACAGTTTAAATTTGGATGGTTATGCCAACTTACCCCCCAAGACCACCTTTGCTTTCCACTCTCACCAGCAGTGTCTGAGCACCTGTTTCCCACAGCACTCAAGCATCAAGCAGTCCTGCATGAAGCATCAAGCAGACCTGAACCCCCCAGGTTAACTACAGGGAAAGGCAATCACTGCATCCATGTCTGTGAGATCTGGAAAGCACAGCTCAGAGGGACAGGGCCTCTCCAGTCGGCTCCTCACTCCTCTGATCTTCCCTCTACACAGCCCTGGGCCCCTAGCCTTGAAAATCGCTGGGCGGATTGCAGAATTCTTCCCTGATGCAGTACTTATTATGGTGAGGCTTGGGTTTGGAGAAGGGGGGTGGAAAGAAAGTAGGAAGGCAGATCCTTGAAGCTCTCACCTGCCCTTCCTTATCTACACAGTTGGATAATCAGAAACTGGTGTCTCAGCCTCATGTGCCCCCAGTCATCGTTCTAGAGAACCATGGTCTCCGCTGGGTCCCCAAGGACAAGAACTTGTGAGTGCCCCACTCCCTCTACTTCTTGGAAATCCAGTGTCGGGGCCTCTGTCCTTGGTCCTGCTCCAAGTGTCATTCTCTAGACCAGTGGTTGCCAACCGGTGGTCCTTGAGATCCGAAAGGTTGGTGACCGCTGCTTTAGACCTAACCTCTATTATGTCCAGCCCCACTGCCTGCTGAGTTTGACCTCCATGAGGGTTATTATTTCAGAGTGATGTGGAGGGACTGGGAGGAGTCACGACAGATGGTGGGAGCACTACTGGAGAGCCGGGCCCAGCAGCACCTTGTGGACTTTGACTGCCACCTTGATGACATCCGGCAGGACTGGACCAACCAGCAGCTCAACACCAAAATCACTCAGTGGGTTGGTCCCACCAATGGAAATGCCTGAGCCAGGGCCATGGGGTGTGTGTGTCAGGATCCAATAAAGAGACTTGAGCTAGTGGATACCATTATGACTATATTTATTGTGCCTAAGAGGCAAGTGAGGGAGAAACCTCAAATGGCAGAAGGTGGCACAGTCTGAAGTTCCCTGTCAAAGACAGGAAGGTCTCTGCTGGACGCACTACAGTATAAGAGGAAGCTCTCAATAGATCATTCCCTTTGTTTCTCCCCTGGGCTTCTTGAGCTTCTCAAAGTTCTTCAGGATGATATCATATAACACAGCCTATAGGACCAGGGAGGAGTGGGGATTAGCCATAAGTTCCCAGTGGCTCTGTGCCTCATTTCTAACCTTGTAGAGACACAGAGCTTTGTCACCCTTCACCCCCAGTTTGCAGAGTCAGGGGATGGGTGGCCTGGGAAAGCCTCCCCTGCCCACCCCTGCCCCACCCTCTCCTCCTCACATAAGCATTTCGGATCTCCATGACCATCAGCCGAATGTCCCGGTACTCTGCTTCATCCAGCTCATGCACCAGTTGCCTGTAATCACCCTGTGGGAGACCTGGGTCAGGGCTGACTTCAAATGCGTCCTTCCCTTCATACACCCCACCTGGGTCTCACCTACCACATGGGGCTGCTTGGCTGCTTTGGCCACGGCGTCTCCCCGTTCAGAGAAATACCTGTGGGAAATAGAAGGGTGTGGCGTGGGAGAAGGAGAGAGACCAAGCCTCTATCCAAGCCAAAGGCAGAGAGTGTAATGGGTGCAATTGGGCAGACACCCACTTGGCAATTTGAGTGTGGAATCCTTCCAGCTTGGTGTGAAGGGCGGTCATCAGCTCAAACACCTTCTCCTAGGGAAAGAATTCAAGGAGGAAAGTGGAAAACAGCATGGACTAGAGAGGTAAGGACGGAGAGGAATGAGGCAGTGCGCTAACCTGGACGGCCACTCCAAAATTGTTTCCATCCTCAATCCGAGGTATCTGCAGCTGCAACCAGGTGGTGACCTGGGAGGAGGGAATAGCATCAAAGCCACATCAACCCCTCAACCCAATTCCCAACTTCCTGTCCTTCCTTGCTTGCTTCCTGCCATACCTTCACCTGGGTGGAGGTATCCCAAGACCATCCTGAGCCCCAGGGCCTAAACTTCTGACTTTGTGGCTATGCCCTCTCCTGCTAAGACCTGGCAGGTGCCATGCCCTAAATGGCAGGGGCCAAGGAAGACCAGGGCTTGACCTAAGGCCTAGAGGTGGAAGTGAAGTAGGAGGGCTCACCAGGTTAAGCTGCTCAATGACATCCTTGATCTCTGGCTTTAGGCGCTGCAGGAGGGTCAGGATCTTCTCGTTGCAGTTCACTGGGCCACAGGGAGGACCTAGAGAGTGGGCAATAGGTCAGTCACACGGCTGGGACTGAGTGAGGGGTGGGGAAGTGGAATCCTTTAGGAGGAGCTCCTGGGAGATAAGACTCAAGACCCTTCCCACCATCGTGGTACCTTTGTCTTCATCATCTTTCTTCTTTTCATCCTTGTCTTCCTTCTGCAGGGAAAGAATGGCTCTTGGGAGTCAGGTGTAAGGCTAATTCCCCCCATCATTGGGACCCTCCTCCCAGCTCTTCCTGGCTTGCCTCCTGCTGTTTCTTCCAAAACAAGCAAAGCAGCACTACCCTAACAGGGGGCATGGTGATCATTCACTGGGTCAGGCACTGGAATGTCCAGCGGGGCCTTCAGATTGCTCAGGTTGGCTTCATTGAGAGCTGGTTCCTGGCACAGGGTAGGAGGGAGGCTGGAGGCAAGGGCATCCTCGTGGCCCCTAGAGTCTCCCCCTTGGCCCCTACTCTATAAAGCTCCCTGCTCAGCCCCAGTACCTTTAAAAATGCATCCAACTCAGAAATCTTCTTGGGGAAATAGCTCCCAAGCAGGTTCTCTGTCTGTGAATGAGGTGGAGGTGGGAGAAGTTGCGGGGGAGGGGTCAGAATCAAATGTCCTTCCTAGGCAGTAAGGAAGGGCTAAGCAGTGGGAATTGAGTAGGGATGGGGTGCTGATGGGGCAGGTCTTACCTTGGTACACAGGTCTTCACGGAACACATCTACCTGTGGGACACAGGCAGCCTTTCAGACACCTGGCTTTATGGCCAGTTCATCTGAGTACTGTCCCCTTAGGGTTGTGTAGGGCCTGGCCTGGGGAAGGTGGAGTGGGTCCCCTTGGGGCTGGGTTTTGGGGATGAGAACCTTTCTGGCGGCGAAGGGCGAGTGGTTCAAGTGAGAACAGATCCCGGGGGCTCCTGGCTGTGTAAGGAGAGGGGTGAGAGCCGGCTGCGCCTGGGGCAGGGGCGCCGTGCCCTGTGTGGTGGGCCCGGGCCCTCCCCATGGAAAAGGCAATGCGGTGGTCGGAGAGGCCCCGCACCACGCCTGTGTGTGGGCCCGGCGCCGGGCCAGCGGACTTCCCCTCCACGATCCTTCCCCCGTCTCCTTTCCACGCCCGTGATCTCTGGGCTCTGATTCTCCACTCCCGGCCTCGCCAGGCGTGCCCTCCCTCTACCCGGCCAGTGCCCGCCTTTGGACTCCCGCACCCCGCCTCCCGACTTCGCACTGGCTCTCTTCTTCATCTGCTGGCCTGGGCCAGGGATAAGCCTTATCCGGAGCTCTACCATCTTTCCTCAGCTGTGGAACAAACCTGGCTTCCCCCCAGCCCTGCCAGCCTGGGTCCCTGACTCCCCAGCATCCTCTGGCCAACGCAGTGCCATTCAGACCCCAACCCAGACTCCAGTCAGCTCTCTCCTGACCCTTGTTGTGGACTCCATTCCTCCATAACCCGCTCTCCGCACAGCTTTTGGAGGCGATAGTAAATATTTTAGGCTTTTTGGGCCATACAGTGTCTATCACAACTACAGTACTCAGCTCTGCCATTGTGGCAGGCAAGTAGCTATACCTAAATGAATTAGTGTGGCTAGGTTCTAATACAACTTTATTTATGGACACTGGAATTTGAATTTTTTTTTTTAAACATATTTTATTGATTTTTTACAGAGAGGAAGGGAGAGAGATAGAGAGTTAGAAACATCGATGAGAGAGAAACATCGATCAGCTGCCTCCTGCAC